GCATGTAGCTGATCTTTTTCTCTTAGCCAATCAAAGCATCTTTGAGAAATGAAATCCCTTGTTTCATCATAAGTTATATCATCCAAGCGGTAATTAAAATCTCCAAGAAATATGATCATGTCAGCCTCTGATAATTCAGGCCTTGCTTCAACTGTGTTGACACCCACAGCCTGTGAGAGTTCAGCTCTTAGATACACATTACAGTCTCTGAAAGAAAATGAACTATACCAATCAAATGAAATACGTACACTGCCACCACGAGGCACTGAAACACCAAATGAAGCACCAGCTGCAATGGAGGAGACCAATAACAATAGTGACCAATGAAAAGGTAAAAAATAAGCTGAGCAGGCTACACAGCATGACAGAAATAAATTTCGCAGCATACCAACTCCTGGATTGAGTGAACTAGACTGCCGTGAGAAGGCCATTGTTCGATAAACATGGTCGAAGTCAGCATTTCGTCGATTAACAGCTTCTAGATGCGCAGCAAAATGACAGTTTACAAAGCACAGTACTCGATCATAGATTCTGAGTCGCACACCCACAGCTCCCTGATAAGACAAAAAATTCGATCATAACCGAGATAAGATAATAAAGAAATGGTAAAGGGACAAGAACCATTTAATTTAACATCAGATCATGTCTGTGATAACCTTCTGTTTCACTTTATGACATCAATTTTATTGTTGATAATATTTGTGAGCAATTTTTTCTAATACGGTGCCATACCTTATTACCAATTGCGCGTCCAAAACCACAAGGAACCGCAGCAGCATCAACATCTCCCACATGAGGTTTAAGGTCATTTCTAACCCTGAAAAATATGTTTCCTCTATAAGGCTATAATTTATCAAGTTCATCCAATACTTGCAAGATAAATTGTGAAAACATTCAGGATAAGTAACACCAGAATTGTTACTCTCTTTCCTTAACTTTCGGACCAACTATATTCCGAAATTAAATAATAATCAAAGAAATCCGAAATAAAATTATTCATACTAACAAACTGTTCCTATGCTGTTATGTGAGCATTGCTATGTGGAGATTAGTCAAAGCAGGATTGAAAGAGAACATTTGGCATTTGAGAATTAAACGATCCATATGAGCACAAATAAATGGGTTACACTTTAACAAGAAAGATAAATTGTCACAACATGAATAGTAACTGAATGAACATAAAAAAGTTACATCAACACAAAATACTAACCATACACAAATGAGCAACCCTGCCAGCTGCCTAGAGCCAACACGAACAAACGATGAACCCTCATCCAAAGTTTTTCCAATCATATCCAGCCACCACTGGCCAAGAGGACTACCCTCAAGTCCTACCTGCATTTGAGGAAACAGAGTAAACCAGAGGCGCAATTTACAGATAGTCTCATAGGCTTCAAATTATGAAACTTCCCAACAAAAAACTGTAACGTGCGCGTGTGCCTGCATGTTTAAGAGAGTGAAGGGGCAAAATTCCTTTGTTCGAAATAACATAATTCAAAACAAAGGCCTCAAGGATTACAAAAACAAAAACAAAAAAATCAATTAAGGGAGTTAACCTAATTATGTTCATAATGTAGACTCTTTTCTAAAAGAAAGTCATTGTGGCATATGCCTTAAGAAATACATCTTTCCCGCATGGTAGTAGGTAAAAGAAAACTTACCGTTTCTTTTGCTGCAGACATTGCAAGAACTCCTGCTCCCATTTCAACTTCTTGTAGTCCAACGACTACGATCTCAACTCCAGCTGCAGCACAGCCTAGCCAAGATACAAGTGAGTCAGTTGATGCTCTCCCCTCTCCAACATTCCATGTACCGGCTAATAATTTCAAATTCTCTATCCTTGAATATAAAAATTCTTTCCCAGCCAGCTCCGCCCGCAGTACATTGTCAAGGGGCCCTGGAGAAGTAACATTCCATCCTCGAATACCTCCATGATTTGCAAGGGTAAATAAATAACCACCCCCAATAGCCATTTTTATTACAGGACCACTATGAGCCACCCATCCTCCAAGCAGCTTTCCCTCAAGGTCCAATACCTGAACAGTGCCACTGGAATAACCAACCCACAGCCGGGAACAAAACGTGACCATGCAGAGAACACCAGAGGACTGGTATGAGAACTCTCGCAAGCAATTACCATTTCCGTCCCATTGCATAAGTGTACCGTTTGTAGTTCCAGTCCAAACCACTCCATCAGCTAATATGACAACAGTCTCAGTTCTCTTACTATCATCACAAAACCCTCCTTTTGCTGCAGCACGGCGAACAGCATCAGCTGCTCCCATAAGGGCATTACGAGACCGCTGAAAGAAACCAAGAGAAGATTGAGCTCTCTCTTTCTTTGAGGCATTTATCTTCATCTTCCCCTCTTCCTCGATCCCAAAATCAGGATATACAGACATGTCAGTTCGATTCTCGAGCTGTCCGTCAATATTGAATACTTTGATCAAATCTCTCGTGCGAGCATCCCTGCCATGCAATAAACAAACAAAAGATAAGAAAATGCTAAGTTATACAGGAAAACTTAATGGTTGTGCCTGCTAGCAATTGAAAAACAACAGCCAATGGGCAAGAGATATTGTAGAAAAAAGTAAATAATTCCAAATTAAGTTTCTTATGGTAATGCTGCTATAATCATGAAGGTCAGGCGAAATAAAAAGCCTGATGTATAAAAAAGCAGACAAAAACGAGTTTCCAAAGTACCACAAAGCAAACGTCAGAGGACTAACACTCCATACTCTTGCCCTTGTATGATCAGATACGAGGAACGTAACATCTGATGTTAATGTATTAGCAAACCCATTGACCGAAACCTGGCTCTTAGGATCAAAATACGATCTCTCTACTGATAACGCAGCAATGTGCCGTTCCTCAATCGTCAAAGAAAGAGATTTCCCCAGAGCCTCCCAGGGCCAAACTTTAAGAGCGCCTCCCTCAGACCCTGACCATATATCCCCTAGATAATTGATGACAAAAGTTGTGCCATAAGAGAAGGTTAAACACAATAAAATCATCCGCAAGGGTACAGGAAGTGAAATGCTTTATTTATTTTTTGAAATTTAACCAACTTTGACCAAAAAGGATGAAATAAAGAAGCCAATAGCCAATGAAATGCCAACCTAACTAGATCATCTATCCACCAAAGAAAGATCAAGTACAAGACCCGGAAACATTATGTAACACTATATAGTGAAACAATGAAAAATGAACAAGAAGAATCGTTATTATTTCAAATTTCTTATCGCATATTAACCATTTAAAAGAAAATCAATTTCTTTCCTCGATAGGAGGTAGGTATTGGACGCTGGAATGGGGAAAGATAATAATTATGGGCATACAAGGCATTTACAAGAAGAATAGTTTTTGTAGACTCTATAAGCTGTTTATAATGTAGCAGCTACGACATGATCACTCCAGCCAGCTTGTCTGGTGAAACTAGAGGAGCCACAATATGTCTTTTTTAGCATAACAAATAACAATCAGAATGGGGGCAACGAATTGTCATCAAGATTACTAATGTTGGTCCTCAAGCCAAGATCTCCATAAGATGGCTACATTCAAAATCATTCTTCTTTCATCTTAAAAGGCTCTGTTACTACTTCCCTTGTGCCTATAGATTCATTCGCCTTACTAACAAAAAATATATTGCTAAAATGCCTAGACAAGTAAAGTAATAGCACCCACCGTAAGCCGAGATGGCAATGGAGAGCACTGGAGCACGATGAGCTTGCCAGGACAAGGCTTCTTCAATGCCATGGTCAGCTCTGAGTTTCCAACATCTGATCCTCCCATCTCTGTGGCCACTCCAAACCACTCTACTACCTTCATCTCCGATCATACAAACAACCGCAGACCCAATCTCCATCCCCAGAGTCTCCTTGTACGGCGCCGTATCCTTTGCCTCTAATCCCCTCCCGCTTTCGTACAGTTGAGCCAAGTCCCATACTCTCAAGCCACCGTCCTCACCTCCAGCCCACAATTGTGTCTCAGTGCTTGTCATCGTCCTCAAGAACCTCCCAATTTGACTTTCCCTCAGCGGATGAGGTCTAACCTCAAGGCTCGGCGGTCGATTCGGATGCACAGCTGACCTAATCGGCACCTTGAAGATCCCGCTTCCCCCACACTTGCCAACGAATTCCGGCAGAGAACCAGAGCCATCACCGTTCTCCGCTCCGATCCCGTCGAAATTGCCGTCTTCGCTGAGTCTCCGGTCCAGAAACTGGATCATGTAGTCGATGCGCTTATTGCTATCGTCGACGGAAGGACCAAAAGGCTGAGACTCATC